AATGTCATCACGCTGACTACTGGGCAAGGCCTGAAGAAGCAAACTGCTTCCTCTCTTCTCCAACCTTCTCCATTTCTTCTGCTGTAGTTGCGGTGGTGCCCTGACTTCATGCTTCAGCTTGTCGACGGGCTTCATCGCTTGGTGTTTGTGGTACCAGTCCTTCGCAGTCTCAACCACTAGATCCCACCATTCTGAACTGCTGGTAGTGAGATCCGACATCTGTGCATGGATGAGAAGCAACCAGTCCTGTAAGTCCACCGGAGCATTCTCAGCTGTCCACTCCGGCAGTTTGTGCAGCTCTACACTGCTCCTCACATGCTCCTCTTCATCGTCCTCTGTTAGCCGTCGGCCCCTGATCGTCTCTCGATCCAAGAGCTGTTGTTGCAGCGATTGCATCCCTTGCATCAACTTGAGCATCACGTCCACTGTGGTGTCCTCCTTTTTTGAACTTCCTTTGTGATCTTTCACATTCACTGAATCTTCCGACTCCTCTTCTTGAATCGATTGACTCTCCTCACTGGACTCTTGCTGTCCAGCTGGACCATCCTCCTTAGAAACTTCTTCAAGCTTCCTTCCAATCACTTCCTCCTCTGCTTTGGGGGTCTCAGCCTCCTGTTCTCCTCGACTTGCATCCTCCTTTGGCTTCGAAGCTTCAAAGTCTTCCTGCTTGGCTTCTACACCTTTGGACTTGGGCTTCTTTCCTGAAACCTTCTGACGGCGGGCGCTGTCACGGAGACCTTCAGCAGGAGTGACATCGGGAGGTGTGGTGTATCTAGTCTCTCGTTCTTCCATAAGCTGAATCCTCAACCTCAAATTTTCTTCTTGAAGCTGGGTGAGAGACTTTGACATTTGTCCCATTTCTTGTCGAAACTGCCACATCATCTCATCAAACATTCCTTGTTGTGTGTGGTGTGGCACGTATCCATAGCCATGTTGAGGTGCTAAGGGATATCCCATTGGTGACATCATCAAGACTTCCGGACCCTTCCTTGATGGTCCCTCTGACATGTCAGCTTCCTTCCCCATTCCCACCTTCCCTGCCGCCAAACCCCCATCCCATCCGCCGGTGGACTGGCTTACTGCGGTGGGGCTTGGGCCCTGCAAAAGTGGTGCACTCAACCTGAGCTCCTCAGCCTTCTTTAGCTCAGCTTCATTGAACAGTGGCTGGAGGTTCCTAGGTCCTAGGGCCTTAGGGGATCCTACAGGTTCTGCTGGAAAGTCTTCTATTGGCAAGGGGGTTTTCATATCTTCCCCAACAGGACCATTTGGTGAAGGCTTTCCAACCCTTTCCCTATCCACTGCCACTAGAGCCATCTCTGCCCCTTGGTTCCTCGCGCTTGCCCGGGTGCTTGACGCTGTTTGGTCTTTCTTTGACTCTTCATCATCAGGCTCAGACCTTCTTCTTCTGAGCATCATTTCAGCAGAGTCCCCATGCGTTGGGCTCATAACCTGTTCGCGACAGGTTCACCCGGGTAATATTATCGGGGGTGCTAGCACTGACAGTCCTGACACGTCTGCGGCCAGAAAAGCCAGGTACTAGTCCACACCTCAAACTCCTTGCGTTAGACACACAAAGTCCTCCACGGTCAGACAAGTGGTCCTGCGCTTTTAACTCTCTTTCCAAAGTCCTTCACGTTGGACTCACCGGTCTTCCGACCGATCTTTGAGCTTGGAAAAAGGGCTATGGTGAAATGCCCATTGATTGAAATGACAATTGCAAAGTCATGACATGAATGCTAAATAGGGAATATGCAATTCGCAGATATAACCAACAAGAATAAGCAGGAACAAGCCGCATATCCCATGCTTTAGGTGGATTTGGAGGTTTTAGGATCCCAGAGCTATTCCGCACCACCATTCTGGATGGATTCGGGACCTCAAATCTTGATGGTGTGGGATACACGGTCAGCTTATCGCTGTCAACCATATAGGTAAAGGTTTCACTCAGAGTTTACCCAATTGGATCAAATACCTGGGGCTCTTTCGCAAGCCGCTGATCTCAACAGGATGAATCTGTCCTTTCCAATTTATGCGCAGAGTTTCCCAAACATTTGGGTGATAACACCAGAGCAGGGGTACAACGATTGCTCGTCACTAGGAATGTTCTGAGAGGTGCACGTCTGAGAGGTGCACGTCTTGTGCTACTTGGCTGTGTCTGAATTTAGATCTGTCATGAAGTGTCTGCCCAAAAATGTGGACCCAAACAATCTCCAAACCATCGTGTATAGGTCTCGTTGAAAACCAATCACAAAATTACTTTACTTCGTGTGATCCCCACCATGACATTTATACATTTTGTTACTGGCAAATCTTCTGGCATTCTATCTGACATATTTTCTGGCATTCGATCTGGCATTCTATCTGGCATATCTTCTGGCAGATGTTCTGGCATATCTTCTGGCAGATGTTCTGGCATATCTTCTGGCAGATGTTCTGGCATATCTTCTGGCATATCTTCTGGCATATGTTATGGCATATCTTCTGGCATTCCATCTAGCATTCTATCTGGCATATCTTCTGGCATATTATCTGGCAAATCTTCTGGCATTCCATCTGGCATTCTATCTAGCATATCTTCTGGCATATTATCTGGCAAATCTGCTGGCATTCTATCTGGCAAATCTTCTGGCATTCCATCTGGCATATCTTCTGGCATTCTATCTGAAATTCTATCTGGCATTCTATCTGGCATACCTTCTGGCATTCTATCTGGCATATCTTCTAACATTCTATCTGGCATATCTTCTGGCACTCTATGTGGCATATCTTTTGGCGTGGATACTCGCGGGTGAGGTCCGGCAGGGAACACTGGGCGTGGATGGTCGTGGTTGAGGTCCGGCAGGGAACACTGGGCGTGGAGGGTCGTGGTTGAGGTCCGGCAGGGAACACTGGGCACGAATACTCGCGGTTGAGGTCCGGCAGGGAACACTGGGCGGGGGTGGTCGTGGTTCAGGTCCGGCAGGGCACACTGGGCGTGGATGGTCGTGGTTGAAGTCCGGCAGGAAGCAGGAGGAGAGGAGACGAGGAGAGGAGAGGAGGAGAGGAGAGGAGAAGAGAGGAGAGGAGGAGGAGGAGGACGAGGAGGATGAGGAGGAGGACGAGGAGGAAGCAACTGACATAAAATCTAACAACCCTCACCTGGCAGGTGGGGAAAAACACATTGTTTCCTGAACATCTCCAAATAGGGCTTCATGATGGTTTCATGTTCATTTTGGGGATGTCCACCCCAGTAGCAATCTTTCAACCACTTTTGGAAACCTTTTGGTTTTCAGCCTTCACATCTTGGATTTAGCAATTTATCCAGCGCCTCGGCAAGCTCCAGAGGGAACACTCGGTCCTGAACCCAAAAACATCAGGCAAATCCTTATCCCAAGAAATAGGTTCAGAAAAAAGTGGGTTAATGAGTTGTGACAAGCGATATGAAATATATCAAGTTATATCAAAGTTATATCTCTATCCTGAGCATACTTGCCCGGAACACTCATTTGTTATTCACCCCGCTTCGCGTGGGGTGGCCGCCCACACCGCAGGTTTATTTCGGTCCGTAAGAGGGGCTAAGGGTGGTTTTCCCCCGTGGGGGCTCTTCAAGCTAAGAAGTTTCAATAAGAAATCCTTCCAAAACATTGTTTTTGACAGTGTTTTTCCAATGTTTCCAGTCAAACAGACGGTAATTTACACGTTTTTTGCCATAAAGGCAGTAAATCCTTCCAAAACATTGCTTTTGACAGTGTTTTTGTAATGCTTCCAGTCAAGCATACGGTAATTTACACGTTTTTTGCTATAACGTCAGTCCAAAACACTTGTTTTTGCAGTGTTTTCAATGCTCTGACATCCAAAAACCCTGCAAAATCTTGCTATGTACAATGTTTTTTTCATTTTTGGCCGTTTTTCCATTGCCGGAAAGCTACCAAAATGACCCAAAATTCCATTTCAATACCCTCTTGCGCTCAGACACCCAAAAATCTCGAAAAATGTCGAAAACACCACCGTATTCTGGTCTCGGTGCGAAACCGTTTTTGGCCCCCCCCCCCAGCTAAAGCTGATATAGCGACTGCTATATTAACAAATGTCATTGAGCATTTAGTGTTGCTGTTGCCCCCCAATAAGCACGCCTTCACCGCCAAAGCGGTGTGGGCGGATTTTTATATGATCAGGTCAAATGCTGGTGCCTCTCCATCCGCTTGGTCTATTCGAGCGATTTTTGGCATGGCCTGCACATCTGTGCCATGGATGCAAGGAACTGGGGAACTACCTCTGACTCTCAGGGTAGATGTGGAACGAGTTTGGGTGTGTTGTCAGCTGATCATCAAACATCATCAAATCAGATTCCATCTGATTTTGACAGGTGAAAACACGAGACTCAAATGAACTCATTTCGGCATTGCCCAGTCTGGACTTTCTCACCCTGGATGTCAAAAAATGACACTCAGTCATCGAACTGTAGCCAAACGAGTTTTTCCCCACGTTGGCGACACCTCCGCAGTATGTCTTTCTGAACGGAACAGTTCATTTGTACTGGAACATACTGGAACGTATGGGCATTGCAGCCTCAATCATCTCCTTCTCCGAGGGGAAGTTGCACCTGAGTCCCATTCTGACATCTGTTCGATTGCACTGGCAACACAGAAACACATAAAAACAAATACACAGCATTCTTTTCCACAGACCCCAGTCATTTGCCTTGATGGTATCTTTACCCGAGTTGCGGACAGCGACAGATCATTCTTGGCCTTGGAGGCTTTTTCGTGGCCCAGAAAGCAAGAGATGATCAGGGGCAACACAGGGGCAACAGAAATGATTGGTTCGGGTTGCCTGGATCCATTGGATCCATTGGTTATGGACTATGGGTCGGTTACATACATTTTGCCGCTTTGCCGGACTGAAATGCCGTGTCTGAAAAACCCGTGTCACAAGTAAACCAAGATGAAAACGATAAAAATACCCACAAACATATTGTAAATAAATAGACCCAGTGGCTCCCAAGAGACTTCTTTTAGGGGTCAACAAATGGCACCCAACAGTGCCTCGGGATGGAGCTGCTCAAGGCGATCCATGAAGTCTGATAGCTTCATACCTCACCAAGCAAGGAACGGCAACGACACGCGACATAATCATGATGGGGTAATAATAGTTCAATATGTTCAATATGTTCAATAGTCATTCATAGTACTTAATCGTAGTTAGTAGCAATTAGTAACAGCCATGTGGGTAATTTTTTAGCAGTCTGACCACGGGGAGTTGCTAGTAACTAGTACTTATGGGGGCGGCTGACAAAATGAGTCCACTGAGTCAAGAAAAACTGAATGTAAAATGATAACGAAACAAATGCCATTGTTGATGCCATTCTTAATGTCATTGTGTCATTGTTAATGTCATTGTTAATGCCATTAAATCCTTCTTCACATGCCGCCAGATGCAATGCCTTCATCGACCCCGCTGAGGACCAGGATGGCTACCTTCCGGAGCCTCTGCGCCGGAGATCGCAGAGTTCGCTGAAAAAATGGGGCTCAAAATGGACACACAAATTGCTTCATTAACCCATAATTCATTCACATACCATTCAAATATCAATAAAGAACTATGAACCACCCATTTGAAATTGGTATTTCATGAGCCCAAAAAATGTTGTTTTGAGATCAATGTGGACAAATGCACATGATATGTTCTTTATTGAGCAACAGTGGATCTCACCAACAGGCAAACTTTGCAATATTATGTAATATCTATGTGGCCAAGCTAGCCACTGATCAGTTGATAGGGGGCTCATTGGAACTATCCTTCACTGTCCACATTGCGGATTGCTTTTCTTCAAGATCTGTTTTGGGGACCCTCTAAGTACGGAATCCTAACCGATTTCTGTCCACCAGGTGCAGAGTGGATAGGTGCAATTGAATCAGATCTAGAAAGATTACGTCACTTCACCGGACCTGTGGCACACCGTCGATCCATGTCTGGGCTCAAGACCGCTCCTTTGCATCGTTGTGCTCTCGGTGGTCCTGGATGGAAATGGCAAATAGCTGGCGGATTCTATCATACTCACATATACTCACATATTTTATCATATTCTCCTATTCACGTATTCACAACATATTCACATCGGAATGTGAAAATTGTGGTGCAGTCGGAACCCACGATATCTTTTGGATGCAACTCCCGGGGCCTCCTCCTTAGGCACCTGTGATGTGGAAGGGAAGGTCAACATCTAGGGAACACTGAACGAACACTGAACACTCTTGGGATTTCTGCAACCAATTCAAGGGTTCTCAATTTACACCTCCTGGAATCCGGTATGATATCCTATACTATTGATAACTATAATATACTATAATAACTATATGGCTGTTTGAAGTGTCCACAAAATCAAATTCCCAGCCCAACTGCGCCAAAAAAATAATTTTGGGCTTGGCTTAATGGTTTTCCTAAAGAACTCCCGGAGTTTTACCTCCGCAATATTCCAACAGGTCCGTGAAGAAACCTTTTGATATCCACAGATTGAGCCCTGGGATGATGTGGCTAAACCCAGCCCGGACATGCGGCTTGCCAATCACCCAACGCACTTCACAATAGATTAGTAATAAGATACTGTACATATAGGCAACATAGAACATTTCAGGCCATCGAATAGGCCATCATATAGGTCTATTCCTTTCATCTATTCCATTCTTTTGGTGCAGCTCTTGACCTCAACCCCTCAGCTCCAAACCCAATATGGATCTTCCAAGACTGGCGTGGCTGCAGCAGCTTCCCGCGCTGCTCGGGCGATGACACCTGAATTCTGCCAGATGGGAAAACATGGTTGATATCGTGGTAATATCCTGGTTGATCCCTCCGATGTATCTGAAATCTAATCTGCCGTACAAATTCTGACCTGAGGAAATCCCCAAGGGAAGCCTTCGGTGCTGAGCGCTTGGAACTCATTGTGGTTGTAGGATGTTTCATCTGCTCCACTCCGTTGTATGATGTTTCAACATTGTCGTCGTCGTCGTCGTCGTCCTCATCCTCATCCTCATCCTCATCCTCATCCTCATCCTCATCCTCATCATCATCATCATCATCATAAGTTTCATCAGCAATCACCTCAATTTCATGCAATCGGCATGGGCAAACCACAGCCACTGGGTCCCACGGCCAAAGCCGGGAGATTGCATCGCCAGGCGTCTTCTAATCTGGCGCAGTGTGAAAGAACGGGTGAAACAATTCTCCAACAGCCATTCCTGATGATACAAAAAGGAGATAAATATGTCTTTTAGGCATTTTGTCTCATTTTTGAATCTCTTGAACTTATTTGATGCAATTTGATAGCTCTGGCTCAAGCTCTGCATGCATAGAATATACAGAATCTGTCGATCTGTGGAGCACGTGGAGCATGTGCCTGTGGCTCTGGTGCTGGAGCTTCTGGCGGTGGCTCTGCTTCCACGGGCTCCGCAGTTTCCACCGTATCCACCGGCTCGGCATTGGGCGGCCTGGCTTGCCATTGCGATGGCTTGCCGGCTTGCCATTGGCAGGATTAGAAATGATTGGAAGATGGACTTGGCCAGTGAATCTCACTTGCATTGGGCCCAGTGTCTTCCAATGTGACTGAAAGAAGTGGCCAAGTGGGCTATCTTCACATTCTTCGACAGCCATCTGGGTTTCAGACTCAGGTGTCACAGGTTCTGCAGCCACATGCTCCGCAGGTGCAGCATCGGCGCTCTCATCCGGCACCTCAGTTCCCAGTGGGCTGCGGAACTTTAAGCCACGTTTAAACCTGGGAATTGAAGATGCAAAAATATGCAAACCCTCGTGAATGACTAGGCTAGCTTGAGGCGCCTATAAGACAAGCATGCTCCCGGGGAAAGAGTTGGTTTGAATTGGACCCCAATGACAAGGATTCTCTCTCCCATAGGGCTCTTATGATTAAGCTTAACGAAAGCCGTAAGCCATTTTTTCTTCAAAGGGCTGAGAAACACATCCACCTGATCATCGTGGTCATATTATCCCACATAAGCAGGCGTTTGGATGCGAAATCCAACGACTCTACACGGGACAGCCTAGCCTTCCCAAAGGTTTACACGTCCACAGCATTACTTCGCTTCCTTGCATCCCAGGCACGTCTTTGTCCATGGAATGAGACACCAGTCAATTCAAATGATGAAACACCGCGCTGCTGACTTGCAATGAAGTCAAACGTTGACTTGTAGTGCTCCGACTGCTTCGACATACTGTCTTGCCCCAAGTGTCCTACTAGTTTGTTTTGTGCATCGGAAAAAGAAGAGCATGAACAAATCAGCTTTGGAAACGACATCCTACTTATTATTCAAGAAAATCTTCTCGGATTTTTGAACCAAGTTACAACACACATTCTTTGTTGCAGCTGACAGTCAGCAACTCATGCCGGCACGTCGTTGATGGCTTTGCATATGTGTATTAGTAGTAGCTATTTAGCCCAAATCCTGCGGGCACAGTGACCGTGAAAGCAGCACAGTTGGAGTTCAGCCATTTGAGCAAATGCAAAGCCTCATTTCACGCGTAAAGTCACCTGGATCCGAAAAAACGTAACTGTTCACCACCAACATTTTATGGACATAATCATATCCTATCATATCACCATTATGTTGTGATGCTAAGCCCTTCAACTCTTGCAAACCACCATTTCACCTGATTTTGCAGGCGCTGCACGCTGAGCTGCCGCTGTCCCCAGAGGTCGGTATGCCGAGGGCAAATTAACATGCAGTCTTTTTTCATCGCAGTGGTTTCACCACTAATTTGGGGAACTTTTTGCATCGCACATTGGGAATTTCCGCACACAATGGAATGGAAATTGGAGGCAAACCTCAGCCTCCTGGCACCATATTTTTTGGCGTCACTTGACACTCGCAGCTTCCTCTCGACCTTCACTCCGCATGGGACTTGGCCTGCAGATTGGGATGGTTTCCTGTTGCTGGGAAGAACCAAAAAAAGTACTCGTGACAGTCAAAGTTGATCATATTTTGAATTACCCAAGAGTTTTCAGTGATTAGTTTCCATGTGGTAGGGGCCCTCACTTCCCCGAGCCCATCAATCTATGTTGGGGACCTTAAGCTTTAAGAGGCTTTTGCTCACCTGATCCAAAGTATCACCATTTTGAGGTGGTCGCTGGTTTGCTCGGCGTGTCTGAATAACGCATTTTGCGCAAATAGACAGGAAACATAGCAAATCCAGGCGATTCTAAATCTCATTCCAAATCGGCAGAGGAAATAACCAGAAATTCAGATCAACGGCTATAAAGTTTTAGAAACTACCCTGTTGCGCCACTCGTCCGAGGTCAGTCCATGCCCACCTAGGTGAAGCCGTTCTGGCACGAGAACTTACCTGCCAGAGCCCTTTGGGCTGTTCCACCGTTGAAATACTTTCAATCTGAAGTTGAACTGCCTTCAGAGCCTTTGAATATTTATTGATATATATATATACATACATATACATATACATACATATGCATAGAACATCATAGAACATAGATATACATCTTCTTTGCATACCCCCCAAAAAAGAAACAAATCTCCAGAGGTTTGTGCGCAGCCCGGCCTGTCCAACAAAGCGACTGGCAGCTGCCTTCGCCAACTCTTGTGCCATCAGCTCCTGCGGTGTCCAAAAAATCCTCCCTGGTTTATCGATGTTTCAAATTTTGGAGGGATTTACCATGGGAGATTCCATGGTTGATCCATGATATATCAGGCAATGTGGGGGGTATCCATGGGTATCCTGTATCCTCCATTTTGAGACAAACCTACTAAAAAAGAGAGGTACTTAATGGTACTTATTCGGAGACCATCTGCCTTGTCTACCACAACATGCCAATACTTGGCGATAACATGACCCTTCATGCTGGGCTGTCCTCAATGTTGCAGTTCGGGGCCTGTGGAGCAGCAAGGAGCCGGAGTGCAAGGACTGCTGAACCCAGAGTAACACCCTCCTAGCACCTGGACCAGTGTCCCAATGCAAACAAGAATGGAATAGTAATTATCCCTCCAACTGGCCTAGTGGTAGGACCTCCGCTTCTGTTGTTGCTGGTTTCTACGCACTTTTTCACTTGAATACTGAGGTGCCTGTGCCATTTTCGATGAACTACCACAAGATATCCCCAAACCTCCCAAGTGATTGCAAGTTGGCCTCACCAGTTTTGCTCCTCAACGCTTCCCGCAACTTCTCAGTGCTGAATGAGCCGCCTGTTATGTCGGGGGCTCACTTTCATGCAAGCATGGGCCACTTTCGGAACTTTGTGGATTTTGGGTTCTGATCCGTTTTACGGGCCGCTCTTGAAACTCAAATGCTTGAAGAACCCTGAAAATCTTCACTGCAAGCGCAAACCAGATCAAGAGCATCCACCCACAGCTTAGCTATCAAACCGATAGAAGTCATAATGTCTGCCCTGATTTGTGGTCAAGCTCTCTCGCATGCCAAAGGATGGTGGTCCATCACAAACGTCTTCAATCATGCCGAATGAAGCACATCCATCTGAATTTCTTTCTAGCGGTTCACATCACTACCAAAAACATTGGGAGGAAGAGGCGGAAAGCACCAAAGCCCGGCCACGCATAGGAAGAAGGATGACTGTTGCTCTGGCTCTAGCCATGGGCTCATGTCATGAAGCGAGGCAGGGTGACACAGTTGTTGCGCTGACCTAGCAGAAACCGCCGGAAGTCACGGGATTCCAGGAGCGGTGGATGCGTGGGTGCATGGTGGCTCAAGAATCTTTGAGGATCTTGATGGAAACTTTGAGATGCTTCAACATATTGTGACAATTGTGTATATTCACAGGTGTCGCATGAATCGTGCAGCTAATTTCACTCGAGTCAGAGAGCATAGAAGGGACACGTCTGTCATGAGGATAGCTAAGTTTTCATATTCACAAGGATGTGGCTGAACGAATTCTGAACGTCGATACTACAAATACAGCAAAAACGTTGCTCCTCCTGGAAATCGACCATCACTTAGCAGGTTTTTTTCCCGAATTTCAGGCAGGGGAAGTAACCATATCTGGCAACATCACAGAATTTTGCTGATGTATCCCATAAATCTTGTTGGTTACAGCGAGTTTCACCTTTTTTGGCTCTCCCACCTAGCTAAAGCTGCGTCCACTTGTGGTCGGTAGCGTCGTAGTACCGGTGCCACGGCCCATCGGTACAAAGCCTGGCCGCTTTCGGAGGATCTATGGAGATTATGGGGGTTATATCATATATTGGGTATATATTGGGTATAAAACCAAACAAAATATGGAAAATAGTGCGAAATACCAGACTATAAATTCACATATGTCAACCAATATGATATTTGGGGCTGAAAACGAGCCACTACCCTTCAAATAGCCATCATATAAGAGGGAACAGGGTGACTTGCCATTGAATGGAATGGGGTGTCCTATTTTCAGACAAATCCATATGCCATACGCCAAAAAAATGTGAACGGCGATGAATGGCGATGAATGGCGAAACTATCACCGGAAAGCCTGTGTACAGTACATAGGTTTTGCGAAATGAGAAGTTCAGTTTTTATGCGGCAGGCCCAAAAACCCACCAGAAGTAACTGCTGACTCAACGGGCGGCTTGATTTCCGACGTAGCTGGGATTAAAAGTACACGTATACAGGAATGTGCTAAGACTTTAAACTCTACATCCAGTTCTTGATGCTGAAATATTCTGAACAACTGATATTGTCTCACCACCCTGAAATGGAGCATTGGGTTGTCAAGTTGAACTTTTGCTGCTACAGCGCAGCACCTGTGCTCCCCGTGTCGCGGGCAGAAAGAGCCACATGATCAATGCGAGCCTTGAGGCGAAATCGGATCAAGAAAGGCTTCCCATGGGTCGGGTTATCAAACTACTCAAACTATTGCTTTTGCAGCTGAACATCACATATCATCACATCATCTTTGAAATTCTTTGAACGTTTGCAGATCAGATTGGCCATTGGCACTCGACGAAAAAAATTAAAAAGTGGACAAGTCAGCGGACTTTACAGGTGGAGCCAGAAGATCCGTCAAATCATCGGTCTGGTGAAGGCATCTAGATGCATATAGTATGAACATTTAGTATGAACATATACCATGAATATATAGGAATCAGGAGATAAGTATTCATGAGCTCAAATTTCTTCCGAGATTCTACGATCAATTCATGGTGTCAACCAACCGACCTTGTCTCCCTGTTCCCCGAGCCTCATCACGTAGTAGAACGGCAGCCAGGACATCAGCTTGGCACTGGCACCTCACGGACTTCACTTTGGGCGTGGACCTCCAAATGCTTGGTTTATTCCCGAAATGAACAGCACTTCATCTTCAGCAGTTCATTTCCATCTTTCTGAAACGTGCTGCGAGGACATCTTAAGCCTGTCTGAAAGGTGCCCATCAGACCTTCCAACAAAGTGAAGGCTGCGAAGGTGATCCAATATGCCAGCCACGAAGACACCTGGCACTGCTCCATCCGTAAGAGTCCAACAACCCAGGGAAATCACATCAGGTCACATGGATGTGCACTGTTTGTGTGCACTGTTCGCAGTACCTATAGAATCCGTGCAAACTGAATGCCTCTTGAACCTATTCCCTGTAAGGTCCAACGTGCTCCAACATTGGTTACAAGATGTTGTAACATGTTGTAACTATGTAACCTTTTTGGGATTCTATTTGTCCACCATAAACTGCGTGTGGAGCAGGAACCCCCGTGCGCCCCGTGGCCTCATCATGGTCTCCATCTTCCAATGCCTGAGACACGCTGTGACATCTGTCGCCTGCGATCATTCTCGGGAGGTTACTATAACTCATTGATCAACCAATCAGATTCAATCAGTTTAATCATTTGCTACTGGTTAATCCGCCGACCCCGGCCGGAGCAAAGGGGAGCGCGTAAGGGAAGAAGAGTTTGTGACACAACCACAGCAAAAACAAAAACAAAACCAAAAACAAAAACACGAACTTTAACAAAAACAAGAACAAAAACAAGAACAAGAAGAAAAACAATAACAACAGCAACAACAACTGATATTAAAATGCAATGTTTCGGTGTGTTTAGTGCAAAAACCGCCATGTCAGCAATATGTTGGGCAACGCACCAATGACATGCAGAACATGTCCAGGGTTTTAGAAGTGACATTAGCCCCCTTCCCCGCGTCTAGAGGTTTTTGTAAACCACATATACCCGCCAACCCTGGCCGACAGCAAGGGGGAGCGCGCCAGGGCAGAGAGGTTGTGAACACAACCATCATTAGCTTCAGACGAGGACGAGGACGAAGACGAACACGAGGACAGCAACAGCAACAACAACAACAATAATAAATAATAATAATAATAACCACAACCACAACCACAACCATGACGCAATGTTCCGCGTCCCCTTTGTGACTTGATTTTTTTTGGGATCCAGAGGGGACGTTAGTGGTTGAGCGCTGGAGGCGCGGTCCGGCTCCAGCCTTGGTGAGTCATAATGAAGTACCCTTTTTGGCTATGGAGGCCATGGTTCATTTAGTGCTAAATCCCAGAAACCCCTGTATCTAGAAACAGTGTTGAATCAATTTAGTGCACAGGTTTGGGATAAAGAACCGAAGGCTTTTGCGGTCATGTCGGGATGGAAGTGCCTGCTTGGATGAGACGATGGAGCAAAGGGGTTGACCAAAACATAATAAAGTGAGGACTCATGGAATTGGCTTGGCTGGGATGGAATGACGGAACGGATGAATAGTGACATCAGTGATATCGAATGATAGAGACATGCAGCTTAAGTTCAGGCAAAGAGCTTGGCTTCGGGTGAGATCAACATTCAAACGGATACGTTTATGATATACATATATTTATATATGCATAGAACAGGAATGTGAAATAAATTGGGAATACATTTGAATATGAAATGATATCTATCTATATCTCTACATATATCTCTCTATCTCTCTATCTCTCTATCTATCTATCTATATATATATATATGTAAATATTATACGTACGTACCAGTAGTACCCGCACGAGGCGGGGCGAGAGTTGCCTTAGGGATATACTATAAGACCTTTTTCATATAGAATTTGCATGCGCCGTGCGCCAGCCGGGCCCGTGCGTGTATAAGACCATCCAGATAGGCCGTCACCTGAGCCAGCAACACTTTGCTATGTGCAAGAATCAAATCAAATCTGCGCAAAGTTTGCCCTATTGTCTATATATAAAAAGGATGTGATGATCAGTGACCCTGACTTATGATCATGAGTTTGCATTGTGCCATCACAAACCTTTTGTAACAGATGTTGATCAAAACAATGGCGAAATTATGCTCACGAAAAAGTAACATCCCCAATGGTGCCAATGAGTGATCAACATGGCAAGGAACGTCCATGCGCTCTTTGTAGATCATCTGCAGTAAAAGATTCTCGCTGTCATGGGTGCCATCTGTACCTGTCAGATCCTGCCAGTCTTCACCAGAAAAGATGCTGTAGTAGCTCGGGTCCATGTCTCCAACGCTGGAGTGGGGAATTGTTTCAAACTCATAGCGAAGCATCGGCGCTGCTCCATTGTAAGGGCCACAGCATACCTGTTGGTCCAACTGTTGGTGACCCCTAAAAAAACATCCTTGTCACTTGGCTGTCTCAGGGAATAGCACCAAGCACCTAACGCCAGTCACCAAGCTTAGAGGACTAGTGAGCACTTTGGCGCAAGGAATCAGGAAGCCACATTGAAATTAACAAACACATGGAGAGAACAATCGTTGACAAGAGAAAAAGATCTTCTGAACTCAGCAACCAATCACCAAGGAAATGCTTCATGTCGCTCACCTGCATCAGCCTAGCACCAACCGTGGGACTTACAATCCGAGAGGTACAGTTGAGGATTGCATTCAGATATTCGCAATCCGTCAACCAGGGAGAGCGGGCCGGGCGGGCCCAGCTACCCCGGGGGGTTCGGGCACCGATGAGCCTCATCTTGAGCCAAATTCCCGTGATGTGATGGTCGCCGCAGAAGGTCTAGTCCACTTCACCACCGTCACTCGGATTTCATCCTTTTCATCAATGTCAAATTCAATCAATGGTGGTGTGAGACTTGACACCACATAACAATACACTCAATGAAGGGTGGTGTGAGACTTGACATCACATAACAATACACTCGATGAAGGGTGGCCCGAGACTTGACATCACATAACAATACACTCAATGAAGGGTGGTGTGAGACTTGACATCACATAACAATACACTCAATGAAGGGTGGTGTGAGACTTTATACATCACATAAGAATACACTCAAGGAAGGGTGGTGTGAGACTTTATACTCAATGAAGCGTTTACACACAGAACACTTTTACACAGAGGGCTTTACACATGGCAAGCGTTTACACACAGAGAAGCTTTTACACACAGAGAAGCTTTTACACACAGCAAGCGTTTACACACAAAATCTTTTACACACAGCACGCCTTTACAGAAAACAAACTACACAGAGAAGCTTTCTTGTACATAATGACAATAGGAATTGCAGCTCCAAAACCGGATGGATCTCGGCGCCAAAGCAAAAAAAATACGATTTTGAAGCACTTTCTGAAAGGAATTTTACAAGGAAAATCAACAGCGCCAAAATTGGAAAATCTGCTGACAAATCGCTATCGCAGCCTTGATGCAGCCACTCCAATACTATTTAAATCCAGCTGCAAAAGACAAAAGTATTACGCATGCAGCCGCGGCACCAAGCAACCTTGACGCAGCCATTTCAATGCGATCAGCAGACACTGAATTGCAAAACACAAAAGAACTACGCGCAACGGCGTCGGAAATTGCAGCTCCAAAACCGGATATTTCGACGCCAAAGCGAAAAAAAGACAATTTTGAAGCACTTTTTAAAAGGGACTTTGAAAAGGAAAATTACGAGATCCAGCTGCAAAAGACAATCGTGACGCAGCCACGACAATGCGATCTGCAACCACAGAGTCAAGAAACGCAAAGAACTACGCACACAGAAAGAACCACTCGTTGCAGAACACAGAGGAGGAACCGATTCGCGGATGAAACCACCGCAGCCGCAACCGCCGCACACAGGAGGTACCTTTCATCGCCGGCTGCAACCACTTTACACGGAAAAACGCAAAGTTCCGTGCTCCCGCTTCCTCCCCAACACAAGCCCCATGCAACGTTCATGCAGCCATTACAATGCATTGTGCAGCATCACGTAGCACACCTGCATCTCTCTACGCACATGGCAACACCAGATGACAACAATCATGCAGCCATTCCAATAAGATCTGCAGCCACAGATGCAAGAAACGCAGAGAACTACGCACACAGGAACAAACACTCGTTGCAGAACACAGAGGAGGAACCGATTCGCGGATGAAACCACCGCAGCCGCAACCGCCACACACAGGAGGTACCTTTCATCGCCGGCTGCAACCACTTTACACGGAAAAACACAAGGTTTCGTGCTCCGGCTTCCTTCCCAACACAGGCCCCATGCAACGTTCATGCGGCCATCACAATGCATTTTGCAGCATGACGTGGCAAACCCGTGTGTATCTACGCACATGGCAACACCAGATGACAACAATCATGCAGCCATTCCAATGCGATCTGCGACCACAGATTCCAGAAACGCAAAGAACTACGCACACAGAAACAACCACCCGTTGCAGAACACAGAGGAGGAACCAATTCGCGGATAAAACGACCGCAGCCGCAACCGCCGCACACAGGAGGTACCTTTCATCGCCGGCTCCATCTACTTTACACGGAAAAACACAAAGTTTCGTGCTCCCGCTGCCTCCCCAAAACAGACCTCATGTAACATTCATCGACCATTCCAATGCGATCTGCAACCACAGATTCCAGAAACGCAAAGAACGACGCACACAGAAACAACCACTCGCTGCAGAACACAGAGGAGAAACCAATTCGCGGATGAAACGACCGCAGCCGCAACCGCCGCACACAGGAGGTACCTTTTACCGCCGGCTGCAACCACTTTACACGGAAAAACACAAGGTTTCGTGCTCCGGCTTCCTCCCCAAAACAGACCCCATAAAACATTCATGTAGCCATTTCAATGCACTTTGCAGCATGACGCGGCTAACCCGAATGTATCTACGCATATTGCAACACCAGATGACAACAATCATGCAGCCATTCCAATGCGATCTGCAACCACAGATTCCAGAAACGCAAAAAACTACGCACACAGAAACAACTACTCGTTGCAGAACACAGAGGAGGAACCAATTCGCGGATAAAACGACCACAGCCGCAACCGCCGCACACAGAGACCAACGCGTCGTGCACATTGTTTCGCGGAACCTGACGTGAGAACTGCAGAACCTGTGCGCGCCCTGATGTTGGTCCGGAAACCTGGGGGCCGCACCAAAACTTTCTTGAATCGCCCTTGGGGGCCTTGCTCAGAGCCGTACTTGGGAACCGCACCAGGCCTTACACGGGGACTTTCCTTGGTGTTACTGCGAGCAGGTTCCAAGTTGGTACCTTGCCTTGAACTTTCCGGAACCTTCCATGGGAGCTGCGCCAGTCCACACCGGAGCTTATCTTGGCTGAAGACCCCATTAGCGCACGTTGTTGGAGAACAATTTTCGGTCAAGGACTTTTTAACTTCTTAAAATTGCACGCGGCACCGCGCCACGCAAGAAACAAAGGCAATCAGCTCAACTGAGTTTGAATGCCGTGGCCCATCCCCAGCACATCCTGATCTGCCAGCTCCCTCATTGTCTCGAGCCCGGCTTCACCTCAGTTTGTGAACACTCTGACTCTCACACAAGGGCACGCTACGCAACAAAGCCAGAGCCCCGGACCCAAAGGAAAGAAACATTGAACTTCCTTACAGGGGCCCGACTCCATCGCCACTTTGACATTGAAAGTGACTCCGCCAGCGGCACGCCCCACGCCCGTGATTTGAAGAAGCACGCGTGGCGCGCCCATGATGACAAATGACAACAAGGAACAGGGAGAGCTTGAGCCAAACTTCAACGCTCGCGGCCAAAGAAAGCTTGGAAGTGCTTATTACATTAACAAGTTGCTTGTCGGGACGTGATCCTGAACGGAACGGGAGCTTTTCAAGAAACCTGACAATACCTACAGGGACCTTGGAAGCAAGATCCAGCAGGACCTCAACTTACTTGCCTTGGAAGACCTGCGAACCCCAGTTTTTGACCAGTCTGTGATGGCCAGCTGTCCACTTTACCGCGAAGTCCTGGTTGTTTTGTCTTCTGCCGCGCATCCCCCGTGCACTCCGTGAACTAGCACGTAAGCGGCACTTTGAGCATGGTCGGGCACAAGCTGGTTCCACGTCACATGGGCCAACATGTCGACCATGAAATGCATTGTCACCATGTCGATCATGGTCCTTGGGCCCCAGGACTTACTGTACAACCGTGGGGCGGCCAAGCCCCCGTCGATATTGAGGTGCCTTGTGTTTGCAGATCACATGGACTCAGGCACTGCTAAGCACCTCGCAAATTGGCCTGCGCAAACTGATGTTGTTGTTGGTGGTGGTGGTTACTGATTAACCTGCAACCACTTTACACGGAAAAACGCATGGTTCCGTGCTCCGGCTTCCTCCCCAACACAAGCCCCATGCAACGTTCATGCAGCCATTACAATGCGTTTTGCAGTCTCACACCACCCTTCCTTGAGTGTATTCTTATTTGATGTAAAGCCTCACACTGCCCCTCATTGAGTGTATTGTTACGTGATGTAAAGTCTCACACCACCCTTCATTGAGTGTATTGTTATGTGATGTAAAGTCTCACATCACACTTCATTGAGTGTATTGTTATGTGATGTAAAGTCTCACACAACCCTTCATTGAGTGTATTGTTATGTGATGTAAAGTATGGCATGTATGGTATGTATGGTAGGTATGGTAACGTATGGTAATGTAATGGAATGTAATGTAAGGTATGGTATGTATGGTATGTGTGGTATGTACGGTAATGTATGGTGAGTAAAGTCTGTATGTTAATGTATGGTATGTATGATATGTATGGTATGTATGGTACGTATGATAATGTATGGTAATGTGTTGGAAAGTAATGTAAGGTATGGTATGTATGGTATGTGTGGTATGTACGGTAATGTATGGTGAGTATAGTATGCGTGTTAATGTATGCTATGTATGATATGCATGGTATGTATGGTATGTGTGGTATGTATGGTATGTATGGTAATCTATGGTAATGTATGGTAATGTATGGTACGTATGGTATGTCTGGCATGTATGGTATGTATGGTAATGTATGTATGGTATGTACGGTACTGTATGGTATGTATGATATGTACGGTAATGTATGGCATGTACGGTATGCATGGTCTGCATGGTATGTATGATATGTATGGTATGTATGGTACGTATGGTAGTGTATGGTATGTATGTCATGTATGGTATGTATGGTATGTATGGTATTGTATGGTATGTATGGTATGTATGGTATGTACGGTATGTATGGTAATGTATGGTACGTATGTT